ATTTTATAAAAATACATAATTGTATTTTTATATTTCATAGTTTATGCTTTGTTATATTTATCAGTACTTTATTATATTTCATCATACTATATTTTTATTTTCTACTGAATTTGATATTTTAATGATTATTTTTACAGTAATAGTATTACATTAAACTAAATATTTACGATTTAGATCACATGTTGTTATTCAGCTTTTTACCAAACTAGTTCCATTTATAATGCTGTATAACAAGTGTAGTGTGGAACACGCCTGAACATGCGTGATGGCAGCACATTTCCTTTGTGTTCCTGGTTTCAGGAACTCGGCAGCAGAGACGGTTGAACAGGAGCTGCTGTTTGTTGGCTCCGAGACAGGAAAACTCACAGCCATGCGAGAGCTTGTGAAAAAGGTAATTGGGAGAGATGGAGAATGTTCTGCTTGTGGTCACACTGAGCTGTGTGTTCTGTCAGAGACTCTGTTTCCTGGGACACATGTTAATCCATTGTCCAAGTTTGCTGTACAAGAGGAAGAGTAAGTACCTACGTAAGCAAACTGGGAGTGCTCCCCATTCTTCACTACATATTTGAGTCTTGCTTTGGAGGTATTAACAGCGTGTTTCATCTCTCTTGGCAGTGTGAGTGGGTTGTTCGTATTGGGTGGGGGTAAAAAAGGAATCAGTTTGTGTGGATTAAAATGCTGCCTGATGCTAAAGTCAGGAGCCATTCCATCAAAGGAAGTGGAGGTGAACTAGCTTAGTTCTGACTGCCAAAGATCCGGCTAGTCAAAAAAACCCCAACCAAACCAAAATCTATCCTCTGAGATATAAAGTACTGGGGCTTTTTAAGTCTCTTTAGTAGCTGGGTGTCTGCACCCAGTAACAGTAGGAAAAGGACTCGAGCCTTACACTTAAAAAGCTTATTCTTTTGCAGGGATTTGCTCCTCCTGTCCTTGTTTTTGTGCAGTCTATTGAGAGGGCTAAAGAGCTTTTCCATGAACTTATTTATGAAGGCATCAATGTGGATGTCATCCATGCAGACAAAACTCAGCAACAGGTAAGAGGATATGATTTCTTCTGAAGAAACACTTCAGAAAGAAAGGTTTTTACACAAGAGTGTTGGAATGTAACTTCAGGGAACTTTCACAGTAGATTACTGCAAGTTTTTATTTAGAGGTTTGATTTTATTTAACATTATGGCAGCTTTCAGGAAACAAGTTCACCTTCTTTCTCAAATTGCTAGGTAGACTCCAAGTGCCTTTCTTTTCTCTTCCTAGAGAGATAACGTAGTTCGCAGCTTCAGAGCTGGGAAGATCTGGGTGCTCATCTGCTCAGCCTTACTAGCTCGAGGGATTGACTTCAAAGGAGTAAACATGGTCATCAATTACGATTTGCCAACAAGTGCAGTGGAATACATCCACAGGATAGGTGAGTGACTGTTCACAAGTTATGGCCTTTATCTCATTTCTTAGCTCTTTAATGTAGATGCTCTTGTGCATGAGCAGAAATCCTGAAGCCAAGCCTCCTCTGTTGCTGCAGCACGAGCTTCTACATTGCTCAAGCCAGTTTATATTGTTACTCAGCTTTCAGTAAAACCATGTTCCTTTGTGTCAGTCTTCTATGAACCTTAAATATTCAGAAACACATAAAGGGGCCAACAAGAGAGCTGAGAGGGACTTCTTACATGGACATGTAGTGATAGGAGAAGCGGGAGTGGCTTTAAACTGACAGAGGGGAGATCTAGATGAGGTGTTAGGAAGAGGAATAGAATAAAGGGAGGTATTTAAAATAAACCCTCTGCTCCTAAAATCTGTGTTTGGCAGGTCGTACTGGACGAGCTGGGCACACAGGAAAAGCAGTCACTTTCTTCACAGAGGACGATAAACCTTTATTACGGAGGTAAGTTGGAAGCATGATACAGCAAAAATGGTTTCTCGTATTTTGTACTGTATGCTGCTGGTACCACACACCTCATCAGCACAGTACTGCCATGCTCCAGAAACCCATTGCCACTGTAATAATCTCTTAACAAGTAGAGAACTCTGTGTCAGTAGGGTAGAGCTAAAGGCAGTACCACAGTATGGGAAAGACTGAGAACATTTCAGTTTAAGATTTCTTTTTGAAGCCTTTAATGCAGCAAGGGAGGAACTAGCATCCTTTTCCTTCTTTCAGCTGTGTTGCCAGTAATGATGTGATGGCTACTTCCTTGTGTCCAAAATTACTTGGTTTTGCTTACTGCTTTTTCTTCCATCTCCTTGAGACTGTACTTGCCTCGAGTTTCAGTTTGTTTAAATGTATCCAAATGAAGTCATTAGTTTCATTTAAGCTTTTTGTGTCTTTTTCACCTTACTTCAAACTCTCTTTTATGTACACAACAAGAAACCAGCCAGTTGTTAGGGATTGCTCTTTTCCACAGACGATGCTTCTCTCTTGTCCAGACACTCACTGCCAGTGCTGATCTCTTCCCTCCTCTCCTTTCCAGCATAGCCAATGTTATTCAGCGAGCTGGCTGTCCTGTGCCAGACTACATAAAACACTTCCCCAAACTGCAAAGGTATGTTCACTTCAGTACTTTCCCACTTCATTTCCCACTTTTAAAGCCTGCAGGAGTGGTGCTGGGGGTATAAGTGTTAGGGAAGATCTAGTTGTTTGCAGTGTAATTGCAGTTTAGCTGCAGAAGGAATTTTAGGCAGGATGGGGGTGACAATTTTTTACCTAGACAAAAATGGAAACAAAAGGAATTCTGTACTTAATGTTTTTTTCTGGAGTTAACTCTTTTTCTGTGAGTTCCCTGAAACCTGCTTTAGACTTTTAGGCCCATACTTATGAATTGGGCTTCTGATACATGAAAGAAAGTCCTTTATGCTTTTGAGTTACACCTCACACCATTTTTCCTCAAGGTATTTATATAGATAAATAGTTTTTTAATTTTAGTTCTTTTTTTTTTTTTTTTTGCCCTTTTTCACAACTTGTAAGTTGTGAAAATCACATATATGTATTAGACACTTATTAAAGTTTGTTTGGATGTCTTTGAGACAACGTGGCTAATCCTGGAATAAAGGAAGAATATTCAGAGCCATAAACCTGTAACCAGTAAAGGTTTCATTATCTGTTTGGTTTACTCTGGGTATTAATTTTTGCTCTCTAATCCTTCTCCACTAAATGTTGTTCTTAGCAAACAAAAGAAGAAATTCATTAAGAAACCATTGACAAGAGAATCCATTTGTACCACCCCTGAGTGCTTCTTGAAAAAGGCCAAAAGAAAAATGTAAGTAGGTTTTTCTCAAGAGGAGGTGAGAGATGCTGTTTACCCAGAGAAGGTCCAGCAAGCTTCCTCCAAAATAATGGTAACTTATTTGGATGGACCAACCAGTCGTAATGATGTCAGTGATGGTGAAGTTCTGGTGTCAGTACCTGTCCTATGGGAACTGGATTAATGCTGTCAGTCTTAACGTGGTGCCATGTATCAGGTGATGGCAAGCTGAGTTTAAACCACTGGCCTTAAAGCCAGACTTCAGAGTAGTGATCATTTGACAGAGCCTGTTTGCTGCTCTTCTGGCAAAGGGCTGGCGTTGATTTTAGCACATACAAGAAGCAGATCTTATGTTGTAATGACAGAGCTCACAAAGACTGGTGTGTAGCAGTTTGCTGTAGTAAAGTGGTCATAAAGAACACCATTACCCACACGTTGGGGTGTTGCTACTGAAGGATTTGTGACACAACTTAATGTCTGTGTCATGGCTATCATACTTCATACATGATGTTCAGGTGTCTTGGTCTCCAATGTGTTTCTTGTAGGAAAACTGCCAAGGAAAATTTTAAGGGAAAAAAGAAAGCTAAAGAAGATAAAAATGTCAGTAAACTACAGACTGTTTCCAAAAGCTGAATAATAACAGACTGTTTGTGAGCTGGGGCTGACACATCCATGCTGAAGAGCAGAAGCATGAAGATAACAGCAGTAGTCAAGGGGAAAAGTATTTCTGATGTTTTCTTCTAGGTGAGGATGGATGTTCACGTGCAAGAAAGTCTCTACTGAAATACTGGTAGAGGATTCCCGGATGCTTCTTATAGAAGCTTCTTATAGAAGCTCTTGCAATAAATGACTTCTGTTTCTGAACAATAGTTCAAAAATAGCATCTGTTTGTGTTACTCTCACACAGTTTTATGTTAACTCCTTGGAAGTGCTGTCAGTTCTGTGTTTGGATCACCCCTACTATGTCTGTCAGACTTCAGAAGATGTAGGGGGCAGACAACACAAAGCTTACTGCAGTTGAGAAACATTCCCTGGACACTTAACAGAAGTCCAAACCAAACCCACTTGTATGTGAAAGTAAAGCCTCGTTCCACCTGCTTTTTTGCTTTTATAAACTCATTTTGAAATAAGTAATACTTTACATGTCTGTAAACACCAGTAATTTTGTAGTGTTTCATATTTAAGCCTCAGAATAACCAAAGTCATGAAAGATTCTAATAGAGGGACTTGCCTTGATGGAACAAGCCTGCAGGCATTATTCCTTAGCCTGTTATGCAAAAAAGGCTGGACTCCACATGTTTTCCACCTCTTCACCTTCCAAATGTGTTCTGAGTCCACCGTGGCTGTGTCAGAATTCCAGTAATGCAGGAATGGCTTCTCCTTTGCATCTACAGTCCTTTAAGCACGATTTTCTTGTTGTGTTGTCGTACTGAAGTCCTTACAGCTCATTTACAGCAGAGCACTGTTCATTGCTCTGCCCAGCTGAGGAGTGTTGGGAGAAACTGATGAAGACTCTGTCCTGTTCCGCTTATTTCTGAGCGAGACTTCCTTTATTTGCAGAAGTGCATCTTGTGTTTGGGTTACGTAGAAACTCGAGTCTTCGTTCTGACATTTATCCCTAGTTTTGCCTGTGTATTTTAATAAAAATGGAGTTGTATATTCTGTTTTGAAATGAGGGCTTAGATCTCACTTTGCTCTTCCTCTGAGGCTGTTTGATGGGTGATTTCCGACACTGGTCACTAGCTCACCGAGGCATTTAAGCAGTGTCCTGCCTCCGGATTTACCCCTGTCACACCAAGTGCTGCCTTTGCCTGAGGTGAAGAACAATTCCAGAACTTTGTCGTGTATTTTATGAAGCTTTGGCCAATCTTATGAAGGGAGAGGAGCTGCTTCTGCAGGACTCTGTCCAGTATATCCTATAGCACCTCGTCACGAGCGCTTATTTTGCAGTACTCGAGGGTTTTGGCTGGCCTAATGACCAGGTAATGAATATTCCCGTGCGGCAGAACTGCTGCAGGACACCCTGGGGCTGGATTTATCCCCTTGGTGTGAGGGAAGGACGTTGGTGAAGCGGCTTCGTCCGCGCACAGCCTCGAGTTCGAAAGC